CCCCATATAATCTTCTCTGACATAGGGATTATTGTAGTTGACTTAAGTGTTGTGACATGCAAATCAATAGATGCAGCAACATTTACTGGAATTTGGCCTTTGTTGTTACCCAAACGTCATTTTATCAAAGTTAACTACACACTTCCTCGGTAATAAGTAGTCCAACCCTAATATGCATGGGTCTTCGATGTCAGCCAAGTATACTATGTGTCTGTCCTTTATGTCCATGATCTCAGTTGTTACCCACACTGGTCCCCACAACCTTGCATAATGTCCTGTCACAACACAGAGTTTCTATATGGCTTCTGGTACTCCTTTGTGATCTAGCACCTTGATACTCACAAGGGTTTGCTGAGATGCAGAATCTCTAACAAAGTTGCACTTTTGGCCATCCAGCTTTCCTGTCACGTAGACACTATGTGTGCTCGCCATTTTACACTTAGCTGTTGAGACTTTCACGATGGGGGTTGGTGGGCATCCCTCAGCACCAACCACTACTGGTTCCCGAAGCTGACTTATTGGTAGTATTCTTCTTGCTCTGGCTCCTCATATGTCGTTGCTCTCCGCAGTTCCAACAACCTTTCTGGGTAACAGCCTTTCCCGCCGTGGCATCTTCTCTGGTGACTGTACCAACCTTGGTACCTCAGCGCTGGACTTAACATAGGATTCGAATTCAAGAACATCCTGCATGGTAGAGGGGTGTGCTTGCTTCATTTGTATCTTCAGTTGTGAACTGTCCAAGGCATCTATAAACTGATCCCTCAGCAACAGCTTGAGGACATCGGGTGGTGCAGTTGGGTAGACCTTGTGTGCCATACTTTCCAAATCCTGTGCCAGCTCTTGCAGACTCTCCCCTTTAGCATGGACTCTAGTCCTAAACCTAGCCCTGTAGATTTCAAACTGATTTTGAGTTCCATACCTGATTTCTAGAGCAGCCACCAGTGCTCTATAGTTTAAGTTTAAACTTAACAACTTTTATAATACACCCTATAAATCACAGTGATTCACAATCTTCAGCGATTCACTTAGCTCTCGACGAGTTCAAAACACACACTTTATTATTCTCGGTGGCTTTCTCTGCCAGACTTATATACTAAAGAAGAGGGCTTCTCGAACAAACTCGGTCTTCTCCAATAATTCGAGAAACTTCACGCACGCTACCAGCGCCACGTGACTTCCGCTGTCGTAACAATATATTTATCTTGCACCAAAAATAACAAGGTTTCGTTTTTTAATTCTTACATCTGTTAACATCACAATTTACATCGAAAATTCACGAGAAAAAAAGCTTAGTCTGGCAACTGTTAACCCTGTTACAAAACATATAACAATGGACTAGAAATAGAATTAAGAAACAAGGTTTAACATGTTAAGTAACTATTAATTCTATTAGTATTAATACAACTTTTGATCATACATCTGAAGAAATAATATTTAAATCTACTAACTTTTTAATTACCTTTATTAACACCATATCCAACCACTGAGTAAGACTTTCCTGAACCTGTCTGTCCATAAGCAAATAATGTTGAATTATATCCTTCCCACGCATTATTCAGAACACTTCTTCCAAGATCTTCATATACCTTGGCCTTTACAATTCAAAACACAGTATTTCATGAAAAATGTTTACAAACCATGCAACATCTCCAATAACTAACATCATGTTTAGCTATATTATAATTTAAACCCCGTTGGTTACTTTAAATATCAAATGAATTATTATTTTAAATGAGTATTTCTCAAATTTCATTTATACTGTTTCCTATAAAGGCTTCTGTTATATTGTGTACTTATTTTTAATTGTTGATTTTTTGTTTTTAATTCGATATTCTCAAAGAAAATTAACCTTACTAGTCCATCAAAAAGTAAACTTCTAAAACGTCACATTATAAACTTGATTCTTATTTCAATCGGTTAATTGAAATACGTCATTTAATGTTAATAATCAGTATACATTAGTAAAACTAAAAGAGTAAGCACATTATTTAGCTGAAAAAGTGTTTGTATAGAAGTAAAACATTAAAGTTTAAACATAGAATACCAAATCATTAGAAAAGTAATAAAAACAAGTTATTTTATACCTGTAATACATTGATAGTGATCATAAGGACAATGCTAGAAAAAATCAAATACAAAATGTATTCAAATATAGATTAATATTCAATACAGTCATTATAATTGAATAAGTGTGCAAAAATATGTTGTACGTGTTATAATGCACTTTAGTTCATTTGTCAAATCCTGATTTAGACTTCAACTTGGTATCATCGTTCATAAGATATTTTCCAATGTTTTTTATACAGTTCGGATGTGCTGATTACGAATGTAGATAATGCCAGTTCGGCATCAGTGAGCGTTTTGAGATATTCAAGATGGCCAGCGAGATGGTTGTCGAAACCCATGTTTACCCATATCTCAGTTTCTATAAGAGTTTGATTGTTTGTTTGTAATTAAGCACAAAGCTACACAATGGACTATCTGTGCTCTGCCCTCCACGAATATCGAAACCCGGTTTCTAGCGTTGTAAGTCCTCAGACACACCACTGTGCCACTGAGGGGGGGGGGGGCATTCTATAAGAGATAACACAACCAAATTTGTGTCTACACCTAAGTATTTTTTGGTACATGATTTTAAATCTACAGAATTGGTCCTTTATTGAAGGCCAAGATACGAAAAACTAATTATAAACACTTATAGCTCAAAATCAACACGTGAAAATCATTGTGATGTATCATTTGTAATTATTTAACAGCATTGCGTTCATTATTTGGCCACCAAGTGAGATAAATTAAATAATAGTTCAATCTTAATGCAAATGTAGCCTCGAAAGTATAATTAAACAAATAAACACATCCCTACAGCCAGCTTACCATATTTATACAAAGCGGGATAAAAATCTGTTTTCGGTATATAGTTTAACAAAGCTATGTAATTGCCGAACATTTAGTTTGAAACTATGTCATCTGCTTGCACTTGTTTCTTAGCAGGTCGCACTCACTATGCAATATATGGTTTTTGGCAAGGTTCATGGAAAGTGAACTTATAATGTGCCACAAACCTGGCCTGTGGAACGGCATGTGCTCAGATACGTTTATCAAAACAACATTTATGCCGTACGGTCAAAGACCAGAAGGTCAAGTAGACACCACACTGAATCCAAACGCCGAAATACGATGGGCAGCGTGTACATCTGTAACTCGTTGCTTAAGGAACTTTAGGAAACGAGAGACGAAAGTGTTCAATCTGCCAAGGTGGCTATTCAAGATGAAGAAATACAAGTACATATCGATCTGACAACACAGACAGGGAAAAATCCGTGCCAAGCCGCAAACTTGCATTCATCCTCTTAATCCAGAGGAGCATCCTGCTGGACTCATAAGTATAATCTCCGGATGGATATGCCCTGTCGAAGTGAACAAAGTGGCAAGCACCAGATGACAGAATATGAGGCAGGCTTTCCTAAAGGCTTTAGTGGATCCGTGAAAGGCAAAACAGTGAAAAAGGATAAAGGTTGATTCTAGAATAACTTGTGACAGGAAGCTCATATATATACTAAAGTATTGGGCTTAGCAGGTTCACGTGACATTGATGTGGATGCATTCTTAAGGCATGAGCTAGTACTTGTCGCCACGTAGATGTTTTGACGAAATTGGTTAAATGAGAATCAACAAAAGTAAATCAACAATGAAGAAGAGACTACAGGTTAAACAGTCAAGCGGTACTACACAGTTATCAAATGCTAGGGTCATAGATATGTGTGTTGTCCTTTCCAAATAATATAATTTACCAACATCTGATGAGGAGAGTAAACGAAGTAGACAAATATCCACAGTTTGCAATCACAGGCTGGTTGTCACTGGATAAAACAGAATAAATTCACATTGGACTTGTCATCAAGAGGGAGGACTTATGATCATCACAAGAAGTAGCAGACACTATAATGATAAAACGAGTTGGGGAAGCGGCCATGCAAAATGCATCACTGTATTTTCGCAAGATAGTAGTTGGACTACTACCTGACTAAAAATCTCACATGCATGCTTTTCATGGAAAGATCCATATCCAGAATATAGTAACTGACATTGAGTTAGCTCCATATATACACTCATAAATTGTGAAGTATCTTTTGGCAGCCCATTTTATTTTTGGATGTGATTCAACCACATAGGTGTGATGTATAGGAAATGCAGCTGTTGACAAAATGCTGTCGACGGGCTACAGACTTAATCAAATGGGTGATTCTATCGCCAATATGAATGATTTCCTTCGGGAAGCAACTATTTTTATGGCTGTATGCTACAGAAGTAAGCTCACGCTTCCGTATCGGGTGTTGTCTATGACACCTACGGGAAACAACTATTTTTATAGCCGTATGCTACAGAAATAAGCCCACTTACGCTTCAATGTCGGGTGTTGTCTATGACACCTGGTTTACCTCTTCCACGTCAGGCTTTTTCGGAAATTAGCACAAAAAATTCAATTTTTTATATGTTACATATATGTGCTTTATACGTGATATGTATTATTTCAATGAAACTATAGTAAAGAATAGGAATGCTTTTCTCCAGTGATTCAAAATACATCCGATAGAGACCAGCACAAACAGCATTTCCAATGTAACATTGTTTGTTTTGAATTTCGCGCAAAGCTACAC